TGCCCCTAGGCAGCACATTTTTGCTCAGGAGACCTGGAGATGCAGGTAGTGGTGCAGGACTGAGCTCTTCCAGAGACCACCTGAAACTCAAAGTTTCAACGCAACCCAGAGGCTTTGTATTTGGTCCCTGCACATGGCAACAGAAGGGCGAGAAAACCATTCCTGTTTTTAAGCCAAAAGTGGCATTAGGTCTTTATGAGGATCTCAACTACTTTGGAGTCAAAGAGGTCGGTTTTCAGGCTCCAAAACTGTCAAAGGCTCTCAGGTCAAGAGACATCTGGAAAAATGCCGGTTAATGTTAGTCACCTACTATTTCATCCTCGTGCCCTTTTAAATGGAGCTTCTTTTCTCAGTGAGAGATTGACCCAGCACACTGAGGAGCCCCTGGAAGAACTGCTGACATCGGCGGGTTCTGCATCACACCAATGCTATTCTGGCTTCTTCCCTGTGATGGCCTCCCTTCATTAGATGTCACAGCACGAGGACAGCCTCTTTCAAAGGCAGAGGGGAGAAAAGGCAGCTACCACTGTGCTTTTCAAGCCAGTTCAGCACAATCTTTGCCCTCTCTGAAGGATGAATTTGTGAAAAAAACTCTAAGGCTAGCTTGCAGAGCCCATATCACTTCGCAGTCAGCCCCTGCATACAGGACATCCCTTTCCTGAGGCGCCTCTGAAATAAGCTGTCCCTATGTCCCCCCAAAAGGCTCTCTGAGAGGCAAAGGCCTAAATCTAGTGTTTTCCATTTCTCTTACCGACCAAAAGAGAAGCTCAGATCGCTGTTTTTTGGGGGAGGGTGAACCACTAGGGCAGATCACAGCTGCATGAGATAGTAATTAGTCACAACGAAAAATATGATAACTATGTCCCATGCCAAGGGCAGAAGAGAGAGGAGAGCAAGGTCCTCAGGTAGACACAGCCAGGGTGGGTTGGGGCCAAGATCTAAGGCAAGTCATGCCTAGGGCTCAGCCTGGTCACTGGTGGGACATCAGTCCACATGGGTGGGATGGGCTCTGCTCAACTCAGAAGGCATCTATCTCATTTAACAGGTTCCAATGTCCAGAAACAAGGACACCGACCACCACACAAGAAAGGACTAGCAGGAGAGCCAGAGAGATCCCAGCCCGTCTGCACAGCCTTTGGGTCAAATTAGTGCATGGAAATGGGGACAGCAGCAAGAAAAGTCCTCGTGGGAAGGAGGATGTGAGATCAAACCACAGCAGGAAAGGAGACAGGACTCCATCACGCGGTGGCTGAGACATAGAGCCAGGATCTGCTCAAGAAGGTTGTGAGGGTATGGAACTCTTTTTTTCTCAAGGATATCCTCAGGCTCTGATCCACAGATTAAAGATTAAAATCATTATGTTTTCCCCACCTATCAAACCACCAAGACACATGACCATAGATTAAATAAAAGCCATCGCTGCTGGTATCCACCTGCACATCACAGGCACTTCCTTAGTCTGACTGGACAACCCTTCGCCACACAGGACCAGGGACCTGCCCCTACTCCATGGGTGTCACCAGCTACCAGGATTCCTCCATCCCTCTTAGACAACTTTTTGCTACATCCATCACCCACGGTATCAGGACCGAGACGGACGATAAGTGCGGCATTCACCCCAAAGGTCACTCGCTGCTTCCTTGCCACATCGATGGCTGGGAGCAGTCAGAGGAGGAGTCCTAATGCTGCTGTCCCTTATGACCAGGGCTGGGCTTTCCCGGTGGGGAGGGAGGTTTGCCACTCACCTAACAGCAGGTTCATGAGGACCTCTTGACCTGCCAGCGTGCTGCTCTTCACCAGGCAGATGAGCGTACCCGCAATCCAGGGGATCCCGTGCCCTGTTATCCCCAGGAGGTTAATCATGGAGCGGGCACCACCCCAGGAGGAGGCTCTGTTAGCACAGACTCCCAGCCTCTTAGACATGCAGATATCGATGGCCAGCAAGGAGTTGAAGGCGATTCCCTTGAAGGAGGGGTTGAGCTGCATGCAGTCCTCTTCGGGCAGCTGCTGCGACTGCCTCCGCTCCTTGGGGTTGCTGTTCACGGCACCAGCTGCCCCAGCCTGGGCACTCTGCTTTCTGCTGGAGCTCCGGCTTTCCTGGTTCCCCTTCAAGGGTTGATTCAGGGAGAGGAACTCAGCCCTGTTGAGGACATTGTTCCTGTCTCTTGCCCTGGACCGTGGCTGGGATGCTGGCATTGCAGTCTCTCCCTAACACAACCTGCTTTGCAAATACTGGCAAGGAGAGAAATCCTTTTTCTCCCTGCAGAAAGCTTCCCCCACACCCACCCTCACGAGCTGTGAATCTGGGAAGCTACAAAGGTTCCCCTCTGTTGCAGTTGCCCCCAGCACAGTCTGCAGCTGTTAAATATAGAGTAAGGAATGCACATGGCTGTTTACTTCATGGGCCTAGCAAGCTTGGAAGGAAAATTAATGCCAGGCTTGGCAGCCACTCCAGTGCCAGGGAAAAAGGTTAAACAGCCAATAGATTGGAAGAAGAGGAGGGAAAAGCATTGTGCCAAAGGTTGGTTGCTTCTGGCCTGGTCTATTTAAATCTTCCAATTGCTTATTCCCCTGGGCTGCAAGGGAAACTGGGAAATGTAGTTTTTTGTACTACAATTAACGTTTCAGTATCAGAGTCAGAGCTGGAGGAGATCATGGCATCCCTCCCTTCCCACAGCAGCTGATATTGTTCCTACGGTGGGCTGTGCTGCCTGGCTTTGCAAGCTTCAAGGCTGGGCATTGCTCAGGGGCTTTCCCCCAAGGGGCTTTCCCCCAAGGGGCTTTATGCTATTATCTTCTTGATTTGTCTGTTCTGCAACGTCTCACCCGTGCTAGGGCACCCTAAATACCGCCTTCCTCTCCCTGGTATGGATACCTTTCAAACATCGCTAGCCCCATCCGCCCTCCCCGCTCAGGATGTGCCCCTGCAGCAACTTCCATCACTCACCCCGTCCCCAGACCCGAGCAGAAGCATCACCTGCCTCCTGATTAAAAGAGACAAGGCACCACTAATGAATTCCCATCCCCCTGCCCTCAGCGCTGAGCACGGCCTAAATACTGCACACGTTTCTGCCGTGTCATCCAGCATCGCAGATCCCACGCTGAGAGCAGGCGACAGGCGATGCCCACATCCTGGAGCTGCGGATGTGATCGGCAGCACAGGTACCGGCCTCAGAGGAGCGGGCATCACGGGGCGGGCAGGAGGAAGGCTCATGCCAGGCCCTGGGGAGTCCTCACGCAGAGGACAGGCAAGACCTGCCATCCCTCCTGCAACGGTGCATTGTGCTCCATCACTTCATCTGTGCACAGCTGCCATCAGCCTCCAGCCTCCCCGCACCCCACTGCAGCTGGGATGAACCCCTCTGACACATCTCCCACCCACCGATCACCAGCACTGGTGAGCCCTCGAGAACATCCTGTCCGTGCTTGCAGCTCCAGTGTACAGGTCTGAATGATCTTGCTACGGTCCCTGAACTGCAGCCATGTGGATCTAAGCCTCAAGCGCTGCTGGGAGACACTGTCCATCCCAGCTCCTCCTGCCCGAAGGATGGCAGCCAGCTGCAGCAACCACCTGAGCCACATCCACCCGGGGGGCCATCACCAATTTACCTTCCCCAGGCAATGGGCTGCCACAGCTCCGCACCACCCGCACGCTTGAGAAACAGGATTATTCCTATGCAAATAGGCTGGAAATCCCCTGTGGACAGAGAAATGGAGAAGATGAGCATTGCACCGAGGAGCAGTATAGGCACGTCTCTTGGTGCCAGTGACATTTGCCTACACAAGTGTTCAGTTACAGAGGTCGGTATTTGTGCAGGTAACCCTGGGAATCAGGCACCCAGGTATCTTTAAAAGTCTTGTCCAAAATGCACTGGAGAGCTTAAGTGCTAAACAAAAGGTCATTCTTGGCTTTCTAAGATAATAAGAAAAAATTTGCACTTTCTTCATACTTTTTATCCGTAGTTCTCAAAATTCTCCAGATGAACTATGCATCCAGCTTGTGCCCATCTGACAGACTGGCCAGAGGAGAGTCTGTTCCCCTCCAGGAACCTACCCCAAGTCTGCGATGATGATCCTAGCCCGGGGAAGAGCTCGTGCCCTCCTCAGGCACCCTTACCCTGCCCAGAAACCAGAACCCCATTCGGCTCAGGTACCATTTGGGGCTGTGGCAGCCTGGGAGCATGCACAAATTCTGCCACATCACTGACACCCACCAGCTCCCATCTGATCGCCGGCTGCACAGCGGCGTTCTCACGCTATCAGGGAAGTCAGCACCCCGTCCCTATCTGCCTGCCTTCATCCTGCTCTGAGGCATGTGGAAAATCTCAGCCCACCTGACATCAGTGGGGGAGATAACTGTTGTCACTGCTTTAACTTGGCTATGGCTGTCACCTCCCCGCTGGACCGCCTCCCTGTTTCTCCTGCTCCACGCAGGGCTGCTGCTGCATGGGGATCCTTGCATACATCTGTGAGCAGAGGGTTAAAGTGCTGGTGGCCAGGAGCCTGCAGAAATTGGGAGACTGGTCTGTCCCTCCTGTCCCACCCAGTGCTGGGGATGCTGAGCTATTACTGAGGATGTTCCTCAGGAGCTGCCATGGGAAAAAAATTACCTTGAAAGCCCTGAGACTTAATTGAATCTGGTGCCTGTCTCTTCTGCCAAGACCAATATGGGGGAATTTCTCTGCCTTACACACAGAGCTGCCCCGACCTCCCCGCAGGAACCCAGCCTCACACCCCGGCAGGAGGGGACGGAGGAGGAAGGGTGACGTGGGATGGATGCAGTACCAGCAACCCTGTCGAAAGTGCAGTAGGAAAGGAAAGCAATTTGGCCTCTCCCACAGTCGGGTGGGCTGTCACCGCCGGTCCCAGCGGAGAAACCGAGCTCGGGAGGGAAATGTCCCCGATCCCTGCGCTGGGGCCATGACGAGCACTGTCCCGCTGCGCTGCTCACAAAACAGCCACAAACCAGGGGTTTATAAATATCCCTGCTAAACCTGTAGACAGGCTCCCTGCACCGGCGGGGCTATTCCAGGCCTGACACCCGATCCACGTGGGTCATGGAGCACCCGGGAGAACGCCCAGATGGACAAATCCAGCACGCTCCATGCACTGCGTCCACTCTGCTCCAGCTGTGCTCCCTGCCTGCCTGCCCACCCTGCCTGCGTGCAGTGCTGCAGTCCCTGGGGCTGGGTGCTGCTGGCCGCAATTCCCTGCGTAGCTGCAGCCGTGCATGGTGTCAGTGGCCAGCGCAGCCATGCAGACTGTGCTGGAGGCGCAGGTGGGACAGGAGGGACAGAAATGTTCCCCTTTGCTGCAATTCACTGGCATCTTTGGTGCACCCCAGCCTCTGGCAGCGGCTGGCCAAGAAGCAGTGCTGCAGCCAAAGTGCTTGCAAGCAAACCTGCAGTGTGCCTGGGTGGGGACTTTCTAGGGGTGAAAATGAAATCTTGGCCAAAATAAAATATAACATTCTGCAGTATTTACAGCACACGCAGTTAGGCCCATCAGCACAGCATAGCACCGACTCTGGTGGGCTGGTTTTATTTGTTGCTGTTCAGATGGTGAAGGGGAGACTCTGCCTTTCCAGTAAACCTGGAAAATGTGCTGGAAGGACTTGGAGGCACAGCACAGGCCACGATGCCAGGGGGAGCGATAGCCGGAATGGCGCATGACCATGCTATGATAAGACCTGGACAGGTGCATCGAATGAACAGCAGAAGGAAATGCAACTCCCAGCATCACCAGACACTCCTAATTCTTATCACAGCTTGGCCTCACATCTCCAGCAATTCCATCAGCGAGCACCACGCTTTCAGACACAGGAGCTGTTCTGCGCACGGCTTAATGCAGCCGCTCTGGGATGGAGTGTGCTAATGCTTTAATCACTCACAGCAGCACAATGGACACAGGCACAACCAAAACCCCAAGAAAACTCCAGCTGAAGATGAAAAGCAGATTTAATTAGAATGAGATAATGCAATTTCCTAGTTGACCAGAACACCAGAGACAGCCAAGTTGAAGCAAGACCTGGCTGAAGCTTCAGGGAAACTACAGTTGCAGAATACGCAGTTTCACCAGATTCATAATGCTCTGAAAAACTGTGACAAGCTTGTTTGAAAAGTGTGAAAGAGTCTTGGAAATGTCAAAGTATTTCAGCACCTTCTGGAGGCTGCTGAAGCAACTGGATATTTCATTCGGAGCTGCTCATTTCATTCTCTCTTCTACTATGCGACAGTAAGTTGCTTGCTTGTAACTTGAGTGTGTTCTTAGTTTTTATATCTGTTTCAGGGCTAGTGACTATAATTGTGCCCTTCACAGAGATCATGAAATTAAAAATAAATATTTAGCCAATGCTTTGAGAAACATGCAGAAGAAAAACATAGCAATATACTGTGTTTTTTTCCACCTACTGTGGGTGGAAAGGAGCAAATCTGCCTCCCCCAGTACTGTGGCATTCACTTGTCAGGATTGCCCAGTAACTCCGGTCTCTCCTACCTGCCGGCAGGCAGACAGCAAGTGCACAGTGTCGAAAAACACCAGGCACTGCGTGAGCTAATCAAGCCTGTTGAGAGCACAAGGCAGAAACAACTAAAAGACATGTACTTAGCTCTGCACCACTATACCATACTGCAAGTGGCACCAGCAAAGCAATCTTTACATCTCAGTGCCCCAGGTTTCCTATTTAGAAACAAGTCATGGAGGACATGCACACCCAGAGCCCTGCATAACGCTCGATGCACAGCAGCAGTTACCAAAACCTGGACACACGCACCTCACCTGGTGCTCAGCTGTTGAAATTCGGATCCTCACCTGGCTGATGGTCGGTGGGCCCAGCAAGCAATGTTAGTCCTAAAACTGTCCATAACAGAAGTTTACAACTTTCCCACAGGCCACTGCTGCCTCAGATGCTTCTCTCTATTCCAGCTACTCCTTAGTCCTTTTGCTGCTATGGAGAGCTTTGCATTTCTAGTTGCTTGAATCACAGCCCATCCAGCCTAGGGCTACAGGTTTTGCAAATAAGGAGACTATCCTTTTACCGAATCTACCAAATAAGATCTAGCCAGGAGAGGAAAATCTTAATGTGAAAACCCAAGAGAAAAATACATTGCAGTTAAATAAATAAATAAAAAAAAAAAAATTAAAAAAAGACGTTTCAAAAAAAACTACATTACCCACAATTCATGGAC